TACCGTCTTCTATCTCTCCCCCCTCATCCAGCCGCCTCCGTTTGTCCGTCGGGCAGTTTGTCTGTCTGCCGCCCCCCCCCCCCCCCCGTGGGTTTTTCCAGCCAGAGTGATGGAGCTGGTTGCTATGGCAACTGCATCTGTTTACAGGACCCACATATCTCAGAGCCCATTAACTCCTTCCCCCCCAGCCCCCTCCCTGACCAAGTGGCAGTTGGCTCTAAGCAGCCCCCGGAGGCCTAGCCCCCACCCCCGGCTCACCCTGGGTTCCCTAGCCCTCCTGCTTTGGCTTCCCAGCCCCCAGGCTTCTCCCTGTTCCTGGCCCCGCTTTCCCCTTCGTCTCAAATCCCCCGTGGTCTGTCCCTCCCCTGGCCTAGCCTCACACCTGGTTCTTCAGAATGTCCGTTTCTTATCCTACATCCTGACCAGAACTGCCTCCCACAAAGGGACACCCTCTCCCTCCTCGCCTGGGCCCTCTCCTCCAGAGCCCTCCCTCAGCCTCCAGCGCAGCGCTGGGGGCCCTGGCCTCCCTTGGCCCCCCCACCCAGTCCCTTCCATGCCTGGGGCTAGCGGCCTGCCCAGCTCAGCCCTGGCAGCTCAGCTCTGCGTCCCCTGCTCACACGCCCCGCTCACACCTCCTTGGCCACCATCCCCTGTGAGGGTCCTCTTACCCTCTGTGGTCTCTTCCCCGGGCCCTCCTTCCTCCCATTGCCTCTCCTGCTTCTTACCGGGTCTCCCCACTTCCTCCCTCCTTTCTCTTCCTGGCCCAGCCGCCTGCTCCATGGCTCTCCCCGCGGTTGCCCAACCCCACTGCCCTCCCCGCTGACAGCAAGACCCCGTCGCCTCTGACTGCCCCCCTGCTCTGTGTGGGGTATGCCCAGCTCCGGCCCTGTCGCCCGGCCTTGCTCCTCTCTCTGGGTCCCTCAGCTGCCTTTTCTTCTCTCTCCCTGCCTTGCTTGGTTGTCCTTCCCTCCCTCCTTCCCCACTGGGCCCATCTCCATCTCTCTGAGCCCTCTGTCCCATTCCAGGGCCTTGGACAAGTCTGTGGGGTGGGGCCAGGAGGGCCAGGGTCCTGAGGACCGAGGACCGGGGGCCACAGGCTGGGGGAGGGCACACGAGCTGCCCAGCTCCTGGGAGAAAGACTTCTGGAATTCCAAGAAGTTGCTTTTCGAGGCCCTCCCCATGCAGAACCCTCCCACAGCCCCATGGGGGTCCCCATCCTTAGGGGATTCTCAGAGCAGTTTCTTTCTTTCTTTCTTTTTTTTTTTTTTGAGTTGGAGTCTCACTCTGTCACCCAGACTGGAGTGCAGTGGCCGGCGATCCTTCCGCCTCAGCCTTCCGAGTAGCTGGAACTACAGGCGCGCGCTACCACGCACGGCAGATTTTTTGATTGATTGTAGAGATGCGGTCTCGCCAAGTTGCCCAGGCGGGTCTCGAACCCGTGGGCTCAGGCAATCCACTCACCTCAGCCTCCCAAAGGCATGGGATGACAGGCTGAGCCACCGAGCCCGGCTACAGAGCAGTTTCCATCCAACACACCTGTACTGATGCTTCCCAAGGACCAGGCTCTGGGTGGCTTTGAGGGAGCTGAGGGTGAATAAGATTCAGACTTCGCCCTTGTGGAGTGCCCAGACTGGGAGAAAGAGCCCAAGCTTTGAAATAATGCCTCTGTTCATTCCACAGATCTTTACTGAGCACCTACTATGTGTGAGGCATTGTGTTCTTGCATACACTCAGCTGGATGATCTTAGGAAGTCATTTGTCCCGAGTCTGGCTCCTTATCAGCAAAGTGGACTCTTGTCTACCCCAGAGTGCCCAGAGTGGGGCCTGCTGAGGGGGTAGGGGATAAGAGCTGGGCTCCTCCCTCCAAAGCTGATAAGAACTAGAATCTTCCAGGGCAGAGTCCCAGATCCCACTCCAGACCCTGAGCCCAGGCCCCAGTGGTTGCTAGGCAACCACGGTGATGAGTGACACGTGTCAGCTGTCACCGTGGGGGATTGTTTGTTCCGGGGGCTGAGTCAGCGCCAGGCAGCCTGGGGGTGGGAGGCGACACCCGCCGCCTGCCGGCAGTGCCAGCTCTGGGGCAGGCAGACGGCACCCTTCCTTCCGCTCCCTGCTGGACCCTTTGCCGTGCCTGTCAGGCAGGCGGCTGCCCAGGCAGTGGGGAGATGGAGGGGGGTGGCCCAGATGGCCCCAGCTGCCTTCAGGAAGCCCGTGTTCTTTCCCTCTGGGCTGTCTGGGTTCCGGGATGCTCGGGGGTGGTGGGCCTGCTGCCTCATCCCAGGGCTGGGGCTGAGGGGAGGGGACCCCTGTGCTCCCCTCAGGTCCTCCCACCATCCCCTCAAACACCTGCTCCCCGTGAGAGTTTCACCTGTGAGGACATCGCCAGATGCCTCAACACTTGAAGGCACCTCGGCCCCCTCTGCCGTCGGAGCCCTCCAGAGTCAGGCTGCTAAAGAGCTCTGAAGTCCGTCCACACCTCCCTGTCCCCGCTGCCACTCTCCACACTCAGACCACCGTCAGTCCCTCCCCTAACCCTCCAGCAGTCCCATCGCTGCTCTGCCCTGAGTATAACAGAGTGGTTAAGAATTTAACTCTGGAGTCAGACTGGGTTAGAATCCTGGCTTACCGCTAACTAAATGTGTGGCCTTGGACAGGTCCCTCAATCTCTCTGACTCAGCTTCCTCATCTGCAAAACAGGAATGAAAGCAATACTAGCACCTATGTCATTAGGCTGCTGCAAGCATTAAACGAGTTAACATACAGCCTGCTGGCATAGCAGAAGCACCATGTGTGTCTCTTGACTGTGACTGTTAGCCAGCTTGTCTTTCCTGCCCAGCCAATCCCAAGACACCAACCTGCTTTATACCCCTCGATGGCGCCCCACTGGCTCCTGCCTGGCCTCACGTGGCACCTTGCCTGGCCTTTCTCACCCCTCCAGGGCCTCTCCCACCGTTCCCCCTTCTTCCCATTCTCTGCACTTCTTCACTCTAGCCCTGTGAAACCTGCGCTTCCCGAATGTTCCTTGTTCTTTGAACCCTCTGTGCCTTTGCACCTGCTATTTCCACTGCTTGGACTGCTCCTCCTGCATTTGTTCACCAGACAGACACCTGCTCAGAGTCGAGCTTGAGCCCCATCACTCCGCACACGGGGTCAGGCGCCCAGTCCGTCCTCTCTGTACCCCACAGCATTGATTATCTAGAATGTAGCTGGTCCCGGGACTCCGGAGCCCCAGTGCTCAGCACAGGGCCAGTCTCACACGAGGCCATGTCTTGGGCTTTTTGGAAGGGGTGTAGTGGACACGGGCCTGGATTGGGCATCAGGACTCTAAGGTTCCATTCTGGGCTGTTGTGTGACCTTGGGGCAGGCCCTGTCCTCTCTGGGCCTCAGTTTCTCCACCTTTGCAACAAGCCCCATCTGGCTCTTGTATAAATTCCTCTCTCGTGGCAGGATGGGTGGGGGAGGCCACAGCTGTGGCCCCAACCCTGACGGGCACACGCCCCCCCACCCGTCCCCAGATCATAGCCTTTGACGAGCTGCGGACCGACTTCAAGAACCCCATCGACCAGGGGAACCCAGCGCGGGCAGTAAGTGATACATGTGCTGTGCCGAGGTGTGTCCGTCCGTCTGTCTTTCCATCTGTCGTGGGCGGGGGGCGGGAGAGGGGAAGACGGGGGGGGGGGGGGGGGACCC